GGCAACACAAACAGCAACACAAACAGCAACAGCAACAGCAGCAGCAGCAGGACGAGCAGCAGCAGCAGCATCAACCCCCCTCCACATCCTCCAATGCCACAATTCATATATAAACATACAAACATACAAGCGTACGAACATATAGATACAGATATAGACAAACATAAAGATATAGATATATAGACATAGATATAAAGACATAGACAAATATATAGATATAGCAGAAGATATATATAGATAAAGATATATATATATAAATATATACATGTATATATATATATATATATACATATATATATATATATATATATATATATAGATGTGTTTCTGTGTATCTCACAGCGAATGTGTTTCCGCCGTCGGTGGATACGAGGAGTGTGACGGTTTGTTTGACGACGTCTTTTACCTTGGCGACGAAAACGTAGCCGTTAGAAAGCAAAAATTTGTTGCCGCGGTAAACCAAACGAGAAAAAGAACGCCCAAAGTCACGAGATATCATCAGGTCCACGTTCTTTGACTAAACACACATATATGTATATGTATATGTATATGTATATGTATATGTATATTTATATGTATATGTATATGTATATGTATATGTATATGTATATGTATATGTATATGTATATGTATATATGTGGGTGTATATATGTATATATGTGGGTGTGGGTGTGGATGTGTAGATGTTTAGATATGTTAAAGAGTATATGCAAATAAAGGAGAAGATGAATCCACCAGTAATTGGTAATGTAAAAGAAAAACAAAGAAACAAAGAAACAAATAAACAAATAAACAAAGAAACAAACAAAAAAGAAACAAAGAAACAAAGAAACAAACAAACAAATAAACAAAAAATAAACAAAGAAACAAAGAAACAAATAAACAAAGAAAACGACTATAGACGGGCGAACAACCAACCGAGCAAAAAAAAGTAAACGACCAGCCACCCCAAGAACAAACCACCTCAACAACAAAACGAAATAAAAAACAAAACAAAACAAAACAAAACAAAACAAAAAAGAAAAAACAAGAGAGCAGAGCGTGTTGTGTGTGCACATAT